TGACGCGATTGATAAATCTTGCCATTTCTTTTATCGAAATAACAGCATAAATAATATTAACAATAATAGCAACATTTAAAAGATTTTTAATTGATTTTATATTATCGAATTTACTAATTGTGTTAACTATAGAAAAATAGATTATATGTTTTATTTTTATTTATTTATTTTAACGCATTCATATACATAATATTTATAAATGTGCTGTTAATATTACTATTAGGTTTAGTATGTAATACTATTTTGATGGTAAAGTAATTTACGGTCTTGATTTCATTAAATAAATATATTTATTTTAAAAAATAACAATGCACAAATCACATAAAAATAAGAATTCATTAAATAATCATGAGTTCCAAAAATTACTTTACGGATTCTTATTCATTGACGTTTGGGACAAATCGTCGAAAATTTCAATCTTATTCCTTAGTTAAACATGAAATTGGGTGGTAAGCGTTTTCCTTAAATATTTCAGTATTAAGTTCTTATACTCTTTTTGTGTAGCAATTTTAAAGCAATAAAATACTTTTAAGATTTAGAATGGTAAAGAAGACGACGAACTATCTTATAGAAAGTGGTAACAGTTGCAGATTAATATACAGACACTATGTATGTATGAACTATGAATTAAAAAATACTTTTTGATAGTTTCATGGTACTTCTCATGACTCCTGATGTGTTGCTGTTTTTGCGGACCACTTATAGAATAGAATAAAAATAATCTTTATTCAAAGAGTCTTGTTTACAAGCTTTTTTAATTTGAATTATTTTTTATTGTATTACACGGTAATTCCAGTGTAGTAATATATGTGTAGTGTATATAGGTACTAAGCTGTATTTGATTGAAATGGGTTGTTGTTATCTCCTGAGAAGAGCTTGCAAGAAAGTCGACAGTTACACTTTTCAAATTATTATGTAGAAGAGAATTTTATATTTGCATGGGTACTGCGACTTTAATTAGAGTTAAGATCTATTCATATATATGTATGACTATATTATTAAACTACTACGATTTCAATCAAATACAGCTTAGTACCTATATACACTACACATATATTACTACACTGGAATACACACAGTGTCCTGTGATGACCACAGTTGTTGTTTATAAAGGTAATTTTTCACAGTTAGCTACGTGAGCTACTAATTATCCACTATTAGTAAGAATAGTGGCATACTTTTTCTAAATTCCACCACCATTAAGAAAACTGGACACATTGTTTATAATTTCACCATTGCTATAGGTAACAAGAATATGATTTTTCCTATTTTAGTACATAATATATAATTTATAACATAACACATAATAAAATCTTTATTTAAAATTAATTGTAACAATGTATTTATTGTGCACAAAGTATAAATGAAATATTCATTAATAGATTATATGTGGAAATTAGTAGCAAAACTATTACAGAAATATTTTCATTCTTTCTAATAATTAGAAAATTCTCTCTATTATATACGTACATGTTATGTATTTGTCCTAAAGCCAGAAAATAAGGTACTCTATTTCCTTAGTAATAATACTGAAATGAGTATTACTAGGAAAAATATTCCGTAAAGTTATTGGTGGGCAATATTATTTCACTGTCTATTCATCTTCGTGAGTAAGAACTCTATACTATTCTATAATTCCATACTGATCATTATATGTATTTATTAAAATTGTATTTGCTGTAAATAGTAAATATTAAGATAGGATGGTATAGATTAAACAATAATCTTTTCTACTAAAAAAATAATCTTTGTTGGAATATTGCATTTTATATGAAATTACATGAACTTTTAATTTTTTTTTCTACTTAATTTATGTACCCATTTTTTTTATTTATAGCCATCCTTCAATTGGTTGCAATGGCAAAACTGATCAGGTATTTATTCACACATGAACCCCTTCTTTGTGGTAGAGTATAAGGGATTTTCTAAAAGTATTAATATGTATATGCTTAATTTGGGATTATGTAAAAAGATCGGGCCCATTTGTTTATTTTTACTACTATTAATAATTAATTTATAGTGATTTCAGGAAATGCTTTTCATGTCTACACGCAGTGGTTACATTTTCTATCAGATAAACCGCAGGTTTATTTATCATTTGTAGTATAATAAAAGGATAAGCGTAGATAACCTTTCTGTAAAGTGGGTACATTTAAAAGGAAACATTCCGGAATAATTTAGTTAACTGGGCACTAATTCCCACTGGTCCGGAACTCTTCATTTAAATAAAAATAAAATTGAACGCAATTATTCCGTTCTGTGAGTTTAAACACAGTTAAAACAAGTCGCAAACGGTTGAGCGTTTAATCTTGTCAATTATCTAGAAAATTGGAATGCGCCCTTCCTAAATCCGTGATACGATGTTGCTAGATTCGTCGATAAAACCGTTGTTTACGTTTGCCTTGTTTACTGCGTAAAAGTATTTAACCAATAATTGTTTTTGTAATGATATTGTTTTTACTTTCATATATCTTTATTTCTACCTGTAAATATACTTTTGTACGGTGTTTATATTACGTTTAGTAACGATGTTAACAAAACATGACACGACTTTATTTAACATGTTAGATACATCAAAAACCGGTGAATAATAATTTCAGGGTACCTAAAATATCTAACAAGAATTACGAGTTTCATTCAGTTACCTATCCCTGTGAGGACGGCTCGACATTCGTGGTCGCTTCATTCCGCATGGCTGGACCAAACCAAACCGCACCGTCCATTTTCATCAGAGAATAAATATATTTTTAGGTACACTGTTAATAAATGTACATTCATTCTAAATGAATGAAAAAATAGTTCGGTATGTACTCCGTATACAAAACAATATATATTTGCTTTTAATATCTAGTAGTGTTTAACTATTATATATTTATTATTAGATCCCTGAAAATAATGTATATTAATCCATTGAAATTACTCTATTTAATCATAAACAAATATTGGGAGTGATCTATGAATTTACAGAACAATGATTAAATTTTAGATAATTGAAATGTTCTACATTAATAACCAACTGCGGGAAATATTTTCTAGTAATATTCATATTCGAGGACAGTGAAATGATTCGATCATATAATATATGATTATAAAATATATAAAAAACAAATGATTATTTATTTTTATAATTATTTTTTATTATTATTACTATTTGTAGACATTTCTGCTAACTTTACTAAATATTTTCTATTATAAAATTAAGATAAATAAATTTGACATCAACATACTGATAATTTATATTGAAACATATTAATTTGTCTTTGGTTTCATCATATTTGGAATTAGTTTTATTAGGATGTTTATTAATGGTTAATCAACGATATATTTCTTATTAATAAAATATAAAAATAACAAGAAAAAGCACATTTTTCATAAATTCATCATCATAATTTTCCTCATTGCATGCTGTTGTGTTAACATTTCGTTCGACGTAGTATATTTTTCTTTATTATCCCTATCAGACGTCATATTGGGGTCCATACTTTTACGCATGTCATCTTTCACTGAGTTCATCCATCTTTTTTTGATTGTCTTTTCCGATTATATCCATCCACGTTCATATATCAATACCTTGAAAACATGACTTTCGTGAATCCGCGTGATATCACAATCCCAAAATATCTGTTACTTCGCGACTTATTTATTAAAGGCGCGATTTTCAGACTTCCCCGTGCATACTCATTCTTTATTCTGTCGTTCGAAAAACATAGGACATTTCATGGGGCGACAACTCTACACATCCATCTTAATTTGTATTTCTCTTTATGTATTTACGGATTTTAGTAAAAGAATAACGATGTAATTCTTATTATATCTTATTCAAATACACTTGGATAATGGATTTTAAGTATAATTTTACCTATCACTTTTAAAGGATTTTTACATTTGCTTGTACAATATTCACCCTCGGCTATAGCTATGCACTTATTCATAACCATTAGCGTGTCTCATAGAATTTGCAAAAGATTTCATAGCTGTGTAAGAAAATAGAGATAATAAATGTATTTTATACAGATGAATATAATAAATATGCTAGTTCCCATCGCAAGCAATGTACTGTAAATCATCATGATTAATTTATGTTCAATTTGTCACAAATTTGACTTCATCCTACCTTGTCATCTCTTGATAGTACCTACCACGTCAGCGTATACCGATAGTGCAGGCAGGGTTACTATTAAATTTTTACTATAATATATAACGAAAAATCTGATACATTTTATCCCTATCTCTGTTCTTCTTGTAAAAACATATGATACGATTGATTATTTAAAAAAATTATATAGTTAGTATCTTTTGGGATAATATAAGAATTCTAATCATACCCTACACATTCAAATATGTTCAGGCATTTAGAAGTTATGATGAAATACTAAAACTTACATAATACATGTACCCTGAAAATATAACAGACTTTTTAGGCAGACCTGTACCTAATTACATAAGATTTTCACAATTACTACATTGTCATAATATATAAACTTTAACATACTTTAAGATGGTTTATAAGATAGGGGAATTAATGCAATCATTTTGATGAACTACGATAATTTATTTGTATTATTATAGCCAGTATAACCTGCTTTAAATGTTGAAAGTAGATCTTATTCCACAGTAAACTATAAACATGAAACGCGAAAGTTTTTTTTATACAACTTAGAATGGCAAACAAGCTGACGGCCCACCTGATGGAATGTGGTATCCGTCGCCTATAGACATGAGCAATACCATGGACATAACAGAGTATACTGTTTCGCCCATGATACCCCCCATGCGTTGCCATTCCTGAGGACTCAGTTGTTATTCCTCCGTACCTCGTAAATTCACGCCATATCCCACCCTTCAAACTGAAACACAGCCATGCAAACACAACTGCTTCACGGTAGAAACACGAATGGGACAGAGGTACCCAAGCAATCGACTTTTGTACAAAGTCTCCCTCTGGTACGCGAAAGTGTAAAAGTTAATATTTAAATTTAATATTATAGGAACTTAATTACCTGAACATGCCTGCGGTGGCAGCGGGAATATAAGCGTGGTGGAAGACTTGCGCCTAGCGACGGCGCAGCCCAAGGATTGGGGTTTGAAGCTGCGTAGTTGCTGCATGAAGTCACTGCACTCCATCAGCGCGACGTCCGCAAAATGCAGGTCGCACAAGATCTGGTTCTTGAAGCGGCGAGACCGTTTCTGTCAACACATGCATTGGACGTTAGCGATAAACCATAGATATTCAGAGTGGCCTATTCTATGCCGGGGCTACACGACGGCTTGATGTACACGGACGTTACATTGCTTATTCATTATTTTAAAATAAGCAAGAGCGTATTTAAATTGTAAATTTTTATGATTATCCCTTGTATTGTGAGATTATATATTCAGTCATGATGCTGATTGTCAGTGGTAACAATTTGTTAAAAAGAGAATGTAGTACTTTAAACAAAAAATACACACGTTAAGAAAACCAACTAATAAAGGTATCTACTCTGATATATATATTAACAATGTAATTGCCGAAAATCCCCTTTTTATTTAAGCACTGCGCTCCATACATACTAACCATTGGTTTGTAAAAGAGTTCTTAAGCCTGAGACAGTGTAATTTCGACAATTTAAAAACTGCCAACCATACTTAGTATGCTTCGACACGTTCGAAATATAAAATTAATGCTTCGAGACGGGATTCAAGCATGGGTTCAATTATACGAAGATGGCGTAGTCAGGTAAACAAAAGAGTTCAGACTGCCATTCGATCTGTTTTCGACGAACATTTAAAGGCCTTTTTAGTCAATTATTACAGTACTTCGAGTGGAAAATAAATTTATTAAAAACTCGTATTAAAAGTTTGCCCAGTCTTTATCAGCAAGTCGCTCTTTTTTAGGGTTCGCTATGAAAGTTTAGCCGAAGTATTTGATTACAAAATTTTTCAAATATTGGCACGCTACGTTATACTTTGGTGAGCTTTGCGTAAATGAGGTCTCGGGTTCGATTCTTGGTCGGGTCAACATTTGGGTGTGCCTCTAGATTTTCTTTGTCTGGTTCTACGTAGCACAAGCATTTGGTCCTCAAACTAGAATATCTAGGGTATTCTACTTTAAGACTAGATGATTTGTATGATTAATTGTGTGGAATTTTTTATTATTATATTGAGAGATCAAAATATGATAAATTGTATGGAGGTGCTTAAATTTCTATATACATCGACGATATCGTTGTGGGAGATTGAAGTTTTCATACAATTGCATACATTTTGCTTTACAAACAGACAGTCCATGAGATAGGATCCTAAATGCGCATGGCAAAGGATCGGATGAGTTGGCGCTGCCAAGAAGTTTATACTTAACAATGAATGAATCCGGGCTGAGATAAATAAATATTAGAACCATTAAATAATATAGATATTTTAAAAAACACATAACATCGTACCGTGCATTAGCAAATTATAAAAGCGTCCAATAAGTGTATCGTCCGACTTTTATCTGTTCCCAAAGCTGAAAAAATTTTTAGTTGGTAAACATTTTTTTACAAATGAAGAGGTCATAGCCGCCGTGGACGCTTATTTTGAGGAGTTAGACGAAGATTTTTTAAAACGGGTATCGAAGCCTTACCGGGTCGATGGAAAAAGTGTTTTGAGCTAGGAGGAGAGTATGTTGAAAAATAAAAATAAACTCAAAATCGTGTGGTTTCATTAAGTATGTTAGGCTGAGAACTTTTCAAATGACCCTCGTATTAAAATATAATACAGATATTTATTGTCACAACTTATCAAAATTTGAATATAGAACAATTTGATATTAGTGATTTGTAAAAAAGTGCTACTACTTCATACAAATTCTGATATTTCCTTTAATAAAAAATATTTTCCTTTATAACAGCTTTTAGGTCTTCTTATTTAAAAGCAGAAATAAGGAAAATACCATTCTCACAAACTTTCAACTGATTTCATTTCGATTTTTCTTAATTATAAATAATAATAAATATATACGGACAAATCACACAGATTGAGCTAGCCCCAAAAGTAAGTTCGAGACTTGTGTTATGGGATACTAACTCAACGACACTATATTTATAATAGATACATATATAGATAAACATCCAAGACCCAGGACAATCAGGAAAAGATCGTTTTCCATCATGACCTGGCCGGGGATCGAACCCAGGGCCTCCACGTCGCAGGCAGGCGTGTTGACCGCTGCGCCACGGAGGACGACGAATGAATGACTATCTATTTATTTATAGCAAAGTAACAGAATCCAAATTAATACATTAATAAGATAAATATTACACAACATTTTATAATTATACCACTCCTTTATTTCCTATGGATGTCGTAAGAAGCAAATAAGGGGATTTAATGGTCGAGGAATGGGTAGCAGCGTCCTTTTTAAAACATCACCAAAGCCTAACAGTTCAACTGCCAAGCATGGCCAGTACTAGCAACTTCCCGCCCCACAAAGGAGGAGTACATGTGATGATAAATGTCTAGCGACCCATTCCAGCTTCATACGGTATTTTTGAAAGTAAAATAAAACCGTTATTCGATGATAATAAGGATAATAAAGGATATGTTGGAATTACCCTTAAATAAATTCAAAACATCTGTTAAATCATATTTACTGAGCAAAGCCTATTACTCACTAAACGATTACTTGAATGACGAGTGTGCATGGCAATAGTTGTTCATGCACTGAATTTTCATTTAATGTTAGACATAGACACCTATATAAATATACATTGTAAATAAACTGGCTTTAAAAAAAAAAAAAAAGTAATTCAATTGAGTTTCTTGCCAGTTCTTCTCAATTGGATCTATATACCGAACTGGACGGTAGGGAAAATATAAAATTATAATGTAAAAATTTGACGTTCATAAGCGGCTAAAATGTCCTACATGAATAAATGATTTTTGAATTTTGAATTTTGAAATTTTGATAATGGAGCTCTATAGATGAAAGAATTTTAAAAATCGGGTCCGTAAATTTTGAGTTTATGCATTACAAATAAAAAATAATCTTTTCCCTTTATAATATTAATTTAGATAAAGATAGATAGAACTAATATTATTTATAGTATTCGGTGTTAGTTACATGTCAACGTCAACTAACTAAGTTAGCGAGTTGCAGGAATTTCCATTAATTGTTTGAGACATATACGACGACTGTATGTCACTAACAACAAAATCAATTAAGGCGGTTTAGTTACAATCCTCACTAATAGGTATAAATATGAATGTGAGTTTGTTTGTTGCCTGTTGGTGTCTTAATGCCTTAACCAATCGTTATAAAATTTCGTACATAAGTATTATTTGATACAGACTACTTATATCCCGGTTTATTAACACATTCTGGTCGCAGGTAAAGATTATTAAATTACAAATATTTATCTAGTTGAATGGCAAAGGCAGAATTAAGTTCGATTAATGAAGTAGTGTAGTAATGGCCGTGTGGTCGCGGCATAGAATAGGCCACCCCTTCCTTTCCCGTGGGTGTCGTAAGAGGCGACTAAGAAAAATCTCCATCGAAAATAAAGATATTTTTCAAAATTAGTGCAGTATTACTGAAAATATCGCGTAACACAAAGAAAATCTCTTGGTAAAATTATTATTTTACCAAAAGATTGTAAACTGTAGATTGTAGATTTTATTGTAGAACTTGTAACTCTACATAGTAAGATAGAATTTTGGAAAGCCGATAAAATTTGTTTATTTATTGTAGGTAGGTTTATATATAATGTAGTGAATCTATAAGTACCGTTATCGAAATTCAAAAATAGAACCTACTGCTGTATTTTTGGAAACAATAAAAGAACGATGAACATTTAAAACAATTGCTCTTTTATATCGTTGTATAAGATAAATATTTAATTATAGAACATGTAGATATATGGGTTTTATAATATACAAGTTTTTATAAAGGAATTGTTTTTTAATATTATAATAAGGCTTCATCATGTCAATTTTGGTAATAAACATTTGTTTTAGGATTATTTAAATAACTAACAATAAATATGTAGACATTTTAATTTGATTTATGATTAAAATTAAAAAAAATTGTTAATTTAGTAAAAAAGTCAATTTTAGTAAGAAAAAAAAAATTTATCTATTAAGACATGATGCATATGTGAAACGGAATTCATTAAAATTTCTTACTGCTGTTTAAACGTAACGTGAATAAGTAACAAGTATCTGGCCACTTGGTTAATACACGTGAAACTGTCAAAAACTAGAAGAAGAAAACAAAATCGAATGACCAATTATATTTAAAAAAAGAACATTAAAAATATCTTTCAAAAAGAAAGGTTGTTTTTGAAAGATACGTTGTAAAAGCCACCAGTCAAACAGTATGAGCCATTTCTTTGAAACAAACACAGGGCCGTTAAAGGGGGACTGAATTTAGGGTTACGATGTTAGCAGAGGTAAAGCTTTGGGCACACAGGGGAAAGTCACGGAAAGCTTATACAGCGATTCAGTTAATAGTTTGAACTGCTCGGTATACGCTATGTAGTCTCGTCGCCGTATTTGCGCAATGAAATTGCTCTGTAATAAGCATATTTGATTTGGAGTGCCGAACTCAACTAATGGCTAAGCTATTAGGTAGTAAATTCTGTTAAAATTTCAACTAATGTCTATCAATAGTGAGACTTACTCCAGAACATGGCGTGCTTGGATCTGAACGTGAGATTTTAGCATTTTATTTGTTAATGTGTTATTATTAAGTTATATAATTACAAAACGGTGACGTGATTATTGAATAGAAAAAAGTGTAATTGTAATCCGTGTGTAAATAAATATGATTTTGTACCTATTTACATTTTTTTAATCCGTATTTTATCCTAAGTATACGTTATTGAAATTTGGACAGGATAACGTCTGCAAAGGAAGCCAGTATCCTTCGTTTTAAATTTAAATATTTAAAATGTGAAATGTTTATGAATCATCTAGTCATGTGTCCGTGTGTTTTATTAATTTTAAAATAAGGAGAATACTTATAATAAAAAGTTGGTTTGTCACTATTCCATTCGACAATATTTAAATTACATTTAATTTTTAATTTTTAATAATAACTTATCCTTTCACTGCTAGCCACAGATTTTGTTACATGAGGTATGAATTTTTAAATGTCGTTTATTGAGTGAGTAAAACGATTGTAGTTTTAACATAAGTCGTTTGTTAAGTTACTTATCTATTGGGAG